TCCCAACCCTATGAGCATTGCTTTGTGGAAATTGGATGCAAGTTGGATATAATCAAAAGGAACCTATAAAGCTGGGGTTTCCTATGTATTAGCATATCAAGTTCATAATAATAGTTGGTCAAGTTTTAACACCATTCATACGTATTTCACCCCCTTTCCCATTCCCGAGCCAGGTTTCGATCCTGGGATCGACATACCACCATATCCACACCATCACTATACCACTCCCGTACCATCGCTCAGTCGATAGGCCAACTCCCTCTCGGCACTGTCTCATGGCCCGTAGCCCCTGGCTACGTCCGAACACTCACTCCCAGGGGAGAAAAGAAGGACTCGTCTCTCTATCTAGTTTAAGCGAAACCCAGGAAAGGTCCATAGCCGACAAGTCGGCATATGTATCGATCGATCAACCATACACTCTACAGAGGTTTTACATAACCACAAGATCCGCCTTCCTCGCTGACCGTCGTCAACTAGGCTGATTCCGACCGCTTGCTAGCCTAGGATAATGCCACTCTACCATTCAGCCCTGGTACACCCCAAGTCCGGTCTGGGGTGGCTGAAACTGTGAGTCATGAGCCGGGTCCACAAGGTCTCCATGAAGTCTCAGAAGGGTGTGGGGGAAATCCTCCGCACCCCGTACCTCCTTACACTGTCCGCTAACAACCTAGCAATAGTAGCAATATCCTACCAAGTAGTCCGGCCGTCCCACACCATATAGGGCGAGTGGTACGTAAGGCTTCCCGGTGAATCTGAGTACTAGTAAGTCCTTAGGGATGACCAAGCCAGAATGTCTTCATCAGGGTTTTCGTTTACCGTGCCACCACAGCACCTCCACCCTGGGCTCCTCCCATCACAGGTTCACACCCAGGGCCACCTCATATACCATTTACCCACCACAGGTATCCATTCTAGGGGTGCCCAGGTAGCACCCCACAGCAAGACTTGCCCTAGGCTCGTCGTATACTCCAACTTGGTCGACACAACCCTCGCCCTCCACGCACCCAAGTCACACACGCAGCACTCTCCCCAATCACCAGTTTCCACCACGCATCAATATAGTGTAAGCGTAGTAGAAGTAATAAGCAATGAAATATAATAGCAAGCGTGTGACTAGCCTAACAGCAGGGTGAGCAGGGGTAAGGTTGCGTCAAGGTAAAGGCCATCAAGAAAGCATACTACCATGTAAGTTCTACCATAATATGATCATGACAATAAAGTAAGTGCTAGCATTTCTATATTAGCCATGCGTAATAGGTGCTACGAGATTGGGTGGGATGTGGCACCTTCAGTGTAGTCGTCTCCGTACTCCTCACGGTACTCACGATCCTCATCCGTCCGGTTCTCCTCCGAGTCTGCAAACGACCGCATTATAGTCACGTTAGCGACGTCTATAGATTAGCACAAAGAAGCAATGAAAATTCAAAAGAGCCAAATGCACTCAAACATGGGTCCATTGCGTAGAGCTCGATTTTAGATGAATTTTGGTCCTGGTTTCGTATTTTTTCGAGATCGTATGAATTAGTTATGAATTTTTGAAGATTAATTCCATTTCTGAAAATGAAAAAGGCTGAATTAATCCTAGGCTGACATGTGTCACGCTGTGGTTGGTCTACGTGGCTTGCTGATGTCAGCATCACGGTTCCGAGCTGACAGGTGGGGTCTAGCTGACGTTAGCATGACGTCATCAACGTCAGGCTCACCGACAGGTGGGTCCGGTCAAAGTCAACGGAGAGTCAACAGTCAATGGTCTTCATCAACGGGCCGTGGTCAGCGACGTGTGGGGGGCGGGGCTGCCGACGTCATCATCTCGATGTCGCGTGGACGCCGCATGACGTCACCCTACCGCACTAAGCTTCGACATGTGGGTCCCACGTGACGTCATCACGACGCCAGCATGACGTCATCGTCTGACGTGTGGGTCCAGCAACACTGTGTCGCTGACATGTGGGGCCAGGTCAACGGTCAACATGGGCCGGGTCTCAAACGGCCCGGTTGGGCTCCGGGTAGGGCCGGGCCGGGCCAGACACGTGGCAGGCTGTGGCACAGCCACGTCACGGCCATGGGCCCTTATTGGGCTTCGTCCATAGCGCGGCTCACACCGTGTGGCCCACGGTGGACCAGCGCTCATGGTCCATAGACCTACGGCAGGGCGCATGGTGGACCAAGTCCACCGTCTCTTCTCCTTGGCTCGGCTCACGTGCACCGAGCCTACGCACCGGTGGCCGGTGAGAGGGGGGTGTTCCCCTGTTTCTTACCGCGGCGGTGCTCCCGTCGGCGGCGAGCTCGCGGTGAGCCCCCGCGGTGTCTCTGGTGTCCGATTGGGGAGGGGAAAAGCTTCCCCGGGTCACGGCGACTGTGTCTGTGGGGTCAAGGGGCGGCCAGAGCTTTCCCAAGGTGTTGGCCACGGCGATCGGCGGCTCGGCATGGCGGTGCTCGCTGGCGACCCCCTTCCAATGGCGTGGGCGTTCAACTAAGGTGGGCAACGGCTCGGCCTTACCATGGCGAGTGTCCTGGTGACGCTAGCGAGGTGGCTAGACGGCTTCCTGTTGGCTGGTCATGGTGGTGGTGCACGGTGGAGCTCCGGCCGGGGTCCAGTGCTCGTGGCCAGGGTGCTATGGCCGGCTATCGACGACTCGGTCTACGCGGCTAATCTCCAGGCGTCATGGTGATCCTCTACTACCGTGTGTCTTGGTCCGGTGGCGGCGGCGGATGCACGATGGTGGGCTGCGCCATGGTGGCGGCGTCGTGAGCGTGGCGTGCGGGTGCTCGGCTATGGCGTCCATGGGGCTAGGAGGGGTCTCAGCAGCGAGAGGCTCACCGTAGGTGTCGTAGATGATAGGATAGCGGTGTTGCGTGACGAAGTTACGGCCGTGCAGCCTCCGTGGCCGTCGCAAAGGCCGACCCGTGGCGGTGCTTCGAACTCCGGCGTGTTCCCGGTCCTTCCCCAGAAGTGGCTTGGCGCTTCCCTTTCCCCTTCTTCCCTTCTCCTCCTCTCTCTTGGCTCAAAAGTGCGCGATGGATGGCCACCACGATGGCGGCGGGCGACGGACGAGCGCTAGGCTCTGGGTTTGGGTTTTATAGCCGAGCTCGCCATGGAGCTCGGTGATCGGCGGATGGAGGCCGAGGGTGATCGAGGCGCACGCTTGCATCCAACGGTGCACGCGTGGTTGCGGGTGGCGCACACAAGGGGACAGGGCATGCCCCGGCGTGACCCTCGCCCACCCTGCCATTGCTGTCGGGGCTCTGTCGCGCGGTGGTTTGAGCGCGGCGTGGGAAAGAAGCACCTGAGCGCCGACGTCAGCGGGTCCAGCAGAGCAGAAATGGCCGTAAGCGGAGACGGGAGACGCGACGGGCATGGGGCGCGGCGTGTCGGTCGACACGCTGGGTTAAGGTGGCGCGACCGCAAGCGCGTAGGCCGACGGGCGTGGCGATCTTGGCCGGGTCATAAGTTGGGCATGCATGCGAGAAGCTAAGCATGGCCGTGCAGCAAAGGCTATAGGGGTCGGCCGGGTGGTCGGCTAGGCAGATTGCTGTTGGTCGTCTTGGGTTGGGCCGAAAGCGGTTGGGTGGGAAGCCTTCTTCTCCTCTTCCTTTTTCTATTTTTCATTTCTTTTCCATTTGTTTGAATTCAAATTTGGTTTGAAATTTGATTTCACAACTGAGGTGACTTATTTATTGGAGTTTAGGGAATTTTTGTTTAATAATAACTTTATGGTTTATTATTTTATTGGAGTTGTTTAGCAATCATAACTCAAATGGAAATTCAAATCACATTTTGAATTTAACAATGTATGCAACATTATATTTGTTGGAAATTAATAAACACAGTTATCTAATGACATGCCATGCTTATATGTTGACTGGGGTTAGGTTAGACCTAATGCATCTCTTAGGTTGGGTTTTTATACATGACACTCATCATCACATAGGATTTTTGAGAAAAAAATTTGTAGCTAATATTTTTGGTGTATAGATTTTTAGGTTGTTACGTAGCTCACAGCTAAGTTGACGCAACGGCCGTGTTAATTGTGGCCTGGAAGTGGAACAACCGACCGACTCAGGGGTTCGGCAAGAACCTGGCCCTGCATATGCTGGGTCCAAACTGGGCCTACCCTCTCGATGCCACTGCCACGGCCTGGCCCCTATACGAACGAGGTCGTTCATGCTCGCGGACGATTGACCGGTGACAATGCGTTGTGGGCCTTGGACTTTTGTATTCTGTGACTTCTGCCTTTTTGGCCCTCTGGGGGAAATTTTCTCAGGTTTTTTAGTTTCTTGTGTTTGTGTGACAAAAAGAAAAGAAAAAAATGAACCTGTCTTCTCGAATCGCCGAACTCGATCTAAAAAAATACAGACTTATTGATCTACTTGAGAGAAAATGCATTTCCTATGCAACTATCAAGTACTCGTGACTTCGTGAGAAAATACATCTCCTAGTCCTAGGGGAAAAGAATTCAGTGAGGTTAACGTGATGTGCTCATCAATCAGTTGCTTGCTTCTGAAACAAAACCATGCATGGGCCCGGTCCATGTCCATTTGATGAAGGCCTTTCGGCTCTGATCTGATGCTGCATCACTTTGTTTGTTTGGAAGCACTAGAAGTGTAAGCTGGAAAAAGGAATGTTTGTTGTCTTCGGGATCACGACTTGCAGATGTCTCAAATAACCCTTTCATTTTTACACATGAGAAAACATCCTAGGCGATAGCTGTTTGCCATCTCTTACACACTGCTACTAACAGTACTATGACTGCACACTCTTTACTTGGCTTTTCACAACTTGTGAACAAAGCCTACTGTCTACATTTGTCGCCGCTAAATTCTAGCTCACATGTTACTCTCTCCTAAATTATGTGATCTTGTTCTACTGATACAACGAATTAAGTTAACAATACCAATTGGCAAGCAGAACCTGATGAACAAACCACGGGATGAATGTCACGTCGAATTCAATAAGTTTGCAAGAGGTTTGTCTTTCTCCATGTAAATTTTGTTCGACTTCAGAAGAAAGCTCTGCTCCCATAGAACACCCTTGTCCCATCCTTCTTCGCCTGCTGCCGCTCGATCACCTTGTTCTTGTCGGGCGTTTCTTCCTTCTGCACGACGACGCCGCCGCCGCCCCCGCCGCCGTCGAGGCCGAGCTCAATCGGCAGCTGCATCTTGGCCAGGGACTCGCTGAACTGCTGCATGCTCTTCACGTACATCTCCATGATCTGCCGCTGCATCGCGCTCTGCTCCGCCTCCATGTCGATGTCCATGTCCATGTCCCCGAGCGGCGACGTGAACACGTCGGCCTTAGTGGCCTTCCCGCCGCGCGACGTCGGCGTGTCCGGCGAGCGGCAGGACAGGGGAGCCGTGGTGGCCTCGTCAAGGTCGGGCAGCGGCAGCGGCTTCTCTGCCGCTTCGGCGGAAGAAGAGACGGCCCTGTCCTCGCTGACCGTGCTGGCCGTCGAGGCGGAGGCGTTCCTGCTGGTGCTGCCGTCCGAGGACGCCGCCGACGCGTCCCCGCGCGGGCTCGTGCTCATCTCGCAGTAGTCCGAAGCCACCACCCCGTCCCCGGCGGGCAGGAACGGCAGGTACTGCACGGCCATGGCGTCGTTCTCCTGCTCCACTCTAAGGTCCGTGAACTCGATCCTCGAGTAGTCCACGGGCGGCGCGGGCGCGGGGCCGAGGATGACCACCTCGGATGCGATGGACGGCTCGGCGTCGGCGCCGCGGCCCGGCGGCTGGGCGCACGCGTCGTCTTCGGGGATCCCCGGGCGGAGCGCGAGCGAGAGGCGCACTGTTCCCGCAGGCGAGTGGAGGAGGTCGGTGGACGAGAGCTCGAAGTTCCCCTCGACGATCCTAGCGCCGTCGGCGGCCGCGACGGACGCGAGCGGCACGAGCGCGAAGCCGAGGAGCTGGTCGTCCAGGACGCCCCTGGCACAGCTGCGCATCCAGAGCTCGCACTTGAGCACGTCCACGGCGATCCTCCCTTGGCGGACGCGCAGCGGCGGGAGGCGCTCGCCGAAGCGCGGGGAGGCGCCGCCGCCCCTAGCGACGCGCGTGGCCAGCGCGGCGCCGTCGTCGTCGGGCGCCGACGTCAGCGCCAGCCTGGCGTACACGTCCTGGTCCCCGTAGATGCAGATGTTGTGGATGCCCCGCGCCTCGTGCACGAAGATGTCCAGCACGCAGGGGGATTCCTCGCCCTGGTCCTCCTCATGCTCATGCTCGAGCTGGCTTCTGCTCTGCTCCTCTGCTCCTCCTCCGCGTTCGTCCGGCCGGCTGCGCAGAAACCTCGCCGCCGCCGGCTCCATGGCAGTCAGAAATCAAGCGAGAGAGAGGTGGTTGGAAGAAGGGCAGAATGTTCTGCCTGTGCCTGGATCACGTTGAGGGAGAGAGCAGAGCACAGGGAGTAGACGCCATGTTTTGTAGTGGGTTGCAAGAGCAGAGCAGGGGGAGTGTGCTGTGCACGCGAGGGCGTAGTTGAAGTGGAGTGGCCGCCGGTAGTTGCAGGAGGAAAGGAAACCCAAACGGCCAAACCCTTGGCCTTGCTTCCACACCAGGTCTACTCCAGCATCAGGTGGGCAGGTGGCCACAGCCCCACAGGCCAGGCCAGGTGTATATGTATGTAGATGACCACTGTGCTATATGTCTTTGTCGACATACATACATACATACATACATACATACATACAACATACATACATACATACATACATACATACATACATACATACATACATACAGATACAGGACTGTAAAACCCAGGTAGGACGACCATAGCTTCCCCTGTTGTTGCTTGCTTCTTGCAATCTTGCTGTGGGTCAGTCAGTGCGTGTGTCGGTGTGTGTTGCAACAGCCCCCTGCGATGCTGCATGTACACATCCTTGGTTCCAAAGTCAGGAGTTTTTTTTTTTTTTGATGAAATCCAAAGTCAGGAGTAGGTGGGTTCCGGTTCGGTCGGTTGGCTTGGCTTGGCGCCAAAGGCGGGATGCTGGCGCCATGGCCTTTGGCCTATGCCCACGGGAGAGGAGAGACCCAACCACCCCTACCCCTCCTCCTCCTAGGTCCTGGTGCACGTTGCATCATCATGTTCAGGTAGCAGCTGCAGCTCATCAGCCATCCCATCATCACACGCCACAGCAGCAGCACTACCTCGCTTGCTTTGGCCACGGCCTTGTTTAGATTGCCTCAAAATTTCAAGTTTTTTCGCTTTTTCTTTATCACATTAATTTTTGGATGCATGTATGGAGCATTAAATGTAGGTAAAAAAATAACTAATTACACAGTTTGGTTGTAAATCACGAGACGAATCTTTTGAGTCTAGTTAGTCCATGATCAGACAAAGTTTGTCAAATACAAACGAAATATGCTACAGTATCTATATTGCAAAAAATTACAATCTAAACGAGGCCCACATTCGCTTCGCTGAAAAGCAGACCTGACCTTTGCCTCTCTCTTTTATTACGTGGTTCTGGATCAGAGCCTCTTTATTTAAAAAAAAATCAGAGCCTGGAGTAGTACGTGTGATCCCTTGTCCACACCACACCCTGATGATGCCTTGCACTGCACACAAACTCCTGGATATCTAGAACGTGGTAGTTGCGCTGCTAACCTATCTAGAAGAGATTGATACTGGATATATACACACATAAATTTTGTAGTGGTGCCGTAGCGTCCCTGGTTGATCGATGTTAGCGTCGACAGTGACGGTATCGATTGAGACTCGATCAGGATCTTGGAGAATTATTCAGGAACCAGCTGCAGAATAGCATGATTATTGTATTGCTGCTGCTGGAAGTGATGCTAATACAAAGAACGTATATGATTTCCTTTGAGAAGGATACATACACTAGATTACAAGCAGAGCGTCCTAGATTATCTTTGAGATCACCTTGGTGTGTAACACGTACAACCCAGAATCAAAAGGTTTGCAGTTGACAGTCGTTAAACAGTACAGTACCACAGTAAACAATCGCAAAGGCTTATATTAGCACATGCACGGTGCACCCTTCTAGAAGCACAAGCACATCCACGACTTGACAACCGGGTCCTGTACGCTGGCGTCGCGTGCATGTCCGGCGGCGACGTCGCCGGCAGGATGGCCGCACGTAGGTCGTCGGGAAAGGTGGGCGGGCGCGACGCTACGCTAGTCGCTAGGCCTAGGACGTGGCCTGGGTATTCGCGCGCGAGCGCAGTGGATGGCGTGGAGAACTGCAGGTCAGTCGGCGTCGGCGTCTCTGTTTGTCAACCCGACTGGCTGGAGCACACTCCCGCTTCCTTCGCTTGCAATTGCAAGCATCGACAGCGAGAGCCACCCAACCGGACTTAGGGCGTGTTTGGACGAAGACCTGGCTTGGGGCACCCGCCCAGACAGGTCGATCCAGCCCCAGGCGTCGGAAATCGACGGCCTGGGTGAGGTGCCTGGGCCAGGCAAGATTCTCAATCTTCAAAGTTTAGGGCTTGTTTGGATGAAGACCTGGCCTGGGGGCACCCGTCCAGACAGGTCGATCCAGCCCCAGGCGCCGGAAATCGACGGCCTGGGTGAGGTGCCTGGGCCAGGCAAGATTCTCAATCTTCAAAGTTTAGGGCTTGGTTTGGATGAAGACCTGGTCTGGGGGCACCCGCCCAGACAGGTCGATCTAAGCCCAGGCGTCGGAAATCGACGGCCTAGGTGAGGTGCCTGAGCCAGGCAAGATTTCCGGTCTTCAAAGCAAACAAGCCCTTAATGAGCGCCACCACCAACCGACGACTAATGATTTCTTCTACTCTTCTTCTTTTTTTCACTCGCTGTCTAATACTCCTTCTATCTGAAACTATATATCGTTCTATTTTCTCAGAAGCTTTAGCTATACAGTTATCTCATGCGAAAATGAGATAAGGCAGGAATGCATGGTGGTCGTGGCGTCACAAAACTTCGTGATGTCAAAATCCGATGACGTCACGGTGCTTCCACTCTGCTAGACCTTTTCCAGAAAACGACTAATAATAAGGCTGCAACGGAACGCCTTTGAACAGCCACACATCTTGCACCTCCACTGTCCACCACATCCTTTATTACTTTTGATTGATCCGGTAAAAGTGGCAGAATCCTGGCTGATGACGCCAACTAACTCGGCTGCTCGCCATGATACACCAGTAGGAGTAAAAGATCTTTTTGGACAGCGTACTCCCTATTCTCATCGAACATTTGACGCATGCATGAAGTATTAAATATAGATTAAAAAATAACTAATTACACAGTTTATGAGTAATTTGCGAGACGAATCTTTTAAACCTAATTAGGCCATAATTTGATAACGCGGTGCTACAGTAACACATGTGCTAATAACGGATTAATTAGGCTTAATAAATTCGTCTCGCGGATTACTGACGGATTCTGTAATTTATTTTTTTTATTAGTATCCGAACACACCATACGACATCTCATATGTAACACCTGATGTGACACTCCAAAATTTTACAACTGGATTTAAACGGGGCCAAACTGAAAGGTTCTCTGCAGCATCACACGCTCAGAAAACAAGGCAGTAAAGCCAAGACCCAAGAGTTAGGTCTCGGTTCAACTCGTCACAATCTACCCTTTTGTTGGAGATTAATAGGTGAACTATGCTTGTATATTGGTTTTTTTAGCATCACTATTGGAGAATTTGCAGTAGTGGTTAGGGTGTTTCGTTTCGTTAGTCATTTAGTGGCATCAACCGAAACCGCCGTCATGCTAAGCAACCGTGATCGCCACGTGCTACTTATTACAAATTGATTTAGGTAATACTGCTTAATTTTCTTTTGCAGAATAAAGAATACAGATGCAAACGTTTATATAATCATATTGTTTTTTTTTTCCAATAGCATCACCAAGAGACCAGACTGGTTGAGAGGCAAGTCGTCTACCATCGGTAAATAGGAACACCCATGGACTTAAACCAGCTTAGCTCACTCGCTGCTTAACTAATAATTAAACAATTATTTTTCTAAAGGAAAAGAGCGGCATACCGTTTCCTTCAGTCCTGCCGATCACTTGCGAGAGCGAAACAGTGTTTGAAGAAGCATGAATCACACTGTGAATCTAAAGTCAAATCCTCAAGTGGCGAACCATGCAAATATTTCCCATTTTGCGTGGTCTCTCCCATTTGCACCATCAAGTGGAGGAGATGGTGGCAGAGACCATGATCTACGCCAAACAAAGGCGAAATAGCCATATTCATCCTTAAACTTTCATCTAAAACTCAAATTCGTCCTTCAACTATCAAAATGGTCGGTTTAGTCCTCGATTTTATAATTTCAGTCTGATTTCATCCTCTGTCTGACGCCGTCTTCCACACGGAAGCTCACTCCGTTAGCACAGTTCTATTGGGAGACCAAAAAAGGTGATTGAAGACCTCGCATCCATGAATCACAGCTTGACACGGTTGTATTTGCATTCAGCTGGACAATGAGATGATCTGTACAGTGATTGACAAAGGTTGCGAAAAGAAATATGTAAACCGATGCATGGTAGGGAAGAAAACGGATCGGATCGGAGCTGATAATGGCTTCCCCATCTCTTAATCCATTTTTTATCGGATTCGGAGCGGATCAGATATTATACGGATTCGGATGCGAATACAAATTTTTTAGATGTCGGAAATGATACGGATTTGGACCGGTGATGGAGCGGAAGCGGACTTTTTAAGTCGGATAATATGTGCTTACATGTTGTTTTTTATGATGAAAAACAATTCATTAACCAAAGTCATAAAGCGACAATACAACACGAAATAATCACCATCAATCCACCGCTTCGATTTAAGAGCTCACAAAATTAATATAAGTTCTCAGCTTAAATTTAAGAGTATAAAACAAGTGTGTAAAAAATAAATATTCTTAATTTGGCAAAACTTTACCTTCACTCTTTGCCGTGTACTAGTCCTCCACTTTAGTAGATGATAATTCTTTTGTCTCTTGTAATTTCAATGTTCCAGCCTATAGTTGACGAGCTTTGTTTGTGGACTTCAATATAATAATGCTTGTGTCATGGGCCAGGCTGACTTGTATTCTTGCCGCTTGGGCTCTTTAAAATATTCCAATTATTCTATTATAAACGTCGCGCGTTTAGTTATCAGTTAATCCATATCCGTCGGATTTCGCCAATTCCATATCCTACACCGCATCCGCATATAATCGGGTTCGGATTATCTGTATCCACATGGATATTAAAAACACTTCTCCATATCTATAAAATTCGGATTCGGAGCGGATCAGAGCAGAGAATTATCTATACCACTTGTGCTTTTGCATTGTAAGTGGCCGCAGGCCTGTGGATAATCCGTAGTGA